CTTTTGAGTTTTTGACTGTTGATATTAGTACTTTATTTACAAAGTTTGACTCTTTGTCATCCATATTAATGTTGGGGATCTAAAGGTAGGGATTATATAATAATGCACATATTATTTTTCATTTGTAAGTACTCATCTTTCATACTAGTATTAATTTTTGAGTGAATAGATACTTCAGTGGTATGCTTTTTTCATGGTGAGCATCAAGTTTCTTGTCTATTTTGTATTTTTATGTGTATGTGTGTGTTTATGTCCAAATATTTCAAATGATAAGATTTTGAACTTAGTATATATGGCTTAAAGTCCCAATTTTATTAATAGCATTTGATTTATCTGCAAATTTGGTCTAGGGTGCTCTCTCTGGTGTCACCTAGGGCTGATCTTTGTTCAAAAATACTTTGTTTCTGTTGGGATATATTGAAGACACATGGAAACACCTAATTGTTGAAACTTCCTTGCCAGTTTCTCTGTTGTACAGATGATGGAAGTATAGAGAATGAGAGAGAGAATGTCTCAGTTATCATAGATGGAACATCTGATCCAATGCCCAGCCAATTAGTAACAGTATTTAATTTGGTATGAATGAACCAGAGGGTTTAGTAGAAGACTTGTCTTTCTTGTCCATTGTTTGGTGATGATATTTTAATATGTAATAGTCACATTTTGATATCTTTAATATTTTAACTTATACAGTTACTTCATGAAGCTAGATTGTGAACTATTTTTAATGGAATTGAGTTTTAAAAATTGATGGTGTAAGCTATTTCTTCAAACATCAAATTAATTTGATTTGCTAGTTGTTGCTTTATGTAGGAGAATAGTAGATAATATATGGGAAAGCAAAATTTAGACAAATACTTATTTCTCTTTAAATGTTTATTTTCATCTAATTGAAAGGCATAGAGAGAAAGGGAGGGAAGCAGGGAGAGAGGGAGAAAGTGGGAGGGAGAGAGAGCGAGCGAGCGAGTGGGTTAGCCATCCATCTTTCATCTGCTAGTTCACTCCCCAAATGCCCACAGTAGCTGGGGCTGGGCCAGGCTGAAGCTAGGAGCCTGGAACTCCATCTTCATCTCCAATGGCAGGATCCCAAGCACTTGAGCCATCATTAGGTGCCACCCAGGCACATTAGGAGGAAGCTGAATCAGAATTAGAGGAGCTGGGACTCAAATCAGGCTCTCCGATATGGGATGTGGGCTCCCAAGTAGCAGCTTCACCCGTTGCATCACAGTGCTCACCCCTGTTTTCTGAAAGTACATAAACTCTCCTCTTGCTCTTCTCTCTCATCCTTCTCTTATTGTTTTTTCATTTATAAATGGTTTTTGTGAGCTTGTTTCAAATTACAGGTTTCTGGATTTCCAATAATAATAATAATAAAATTTATTCAAAGACTTGATGCTTTTTTCACATAAACACACTTTAACATGACTTCTCTTAGTCCTAATGATTGCTGGTTTGCTGGTTAGATAGGCATTTTTAATATTTTATTCATTTATGCATTTGATTTAATTTTCTAAGACTTTTTGAGTTGTACTGCATGTATGAAACAATATATCAGGTACTGAAAGGCTTGTCTGATATTATAGATCCTATTTCTGTCCTTATAGAGTTTCTCTTTTACTGGATGAGGTAAGTTATGCACTCTAATAAGGCCCAAAGAGATTTAAGGTGGTGAACTTCTGAGGGGAGCAGGTAATGTTGTGGACGGCGTCAGATGGGGATGCCAGTTTTCTGGCTCATGGTTTCCACTGCTTGCCTTTCAACAGATCTGTTACTGGAGGCACCTTTTCATTCAAGTATATAGTTTCTTTGAAAAGCTACTGTATTAAAATAAATGCAAATATTAAACTCATGTAAGTGTTGTACAGTTTACTGGAGAATGTAATGAAGCTTAGTTATTCCTAATCTCTGCTTGATGTAACTTGATGCATTTAGTCTCAGACTCTGTTACAACAGCGTTGTAAATGGCTTCATCACCCAGAGCCTTATGTTTAAAGTCCTTACTTTACGTCCTTACAGGGGACGGAGAGGGTCTGGCTTCAGAACTGCAGGCCATCCACAGTTCTTGAAGGTGTTTCTTTAGCAACTAGGAGAGCTCCATAGCCAAATTGCTCATTCATCCTGCTACTGAAGCGTTTGTTCCTTTAGAAATGTTTTGATGGATTAGACCACGTGAGAGGAGAAAGGCAACATATGAATACTGTCTGAAGTTTTCCTGAGGTCTGATTAAGTTATGGTCAACACTGGCAGGCTAGAGAAAACAGTTTACGAATTTCACAGAAGTCATTCTGGGATATATTCCCTGACACGAGCTTAAGAGCAACCTTCTGATTTAACCTTATTGTGAGAGATTCTTAAAAACTAATTCATTTAATAAATGAAGCCATCTTTAAAACTCTTAATTTTCCCTGTTACTTGAAACATGTTACAGTATGCTAATAAAGGTGTGACTAAAATAATAAAGAGATTGTAAACTGGAAGGTGCAGTCAGCTTCTGTAATAGTCTCTGTTTTTATATTTTATTTAAAAAATTATTTCAGGGAGAATTGTGCACTGAGTTAGTTCCCACTTTGGGAACCCCACATCCCAAAGTGCCCTGGATGGAATCCTGCCTGGGGTGTGGTCCTGTCTGGGGTGGGGTCCTGCCTGGGGTGGGGTCCTGTCTGGGTGGGGCACTGCCTGGGGTGGGGCCCTGCCTGGGGTGGGATCCTGCCTGGGGTGGGGTCCTGTCTGGGTGGGGCCCTGCCTGGGGTGGGGCCCTGCCTGGGGTGGGATCCTGCCTGGGGTGGGGTCCTGTCTGGGTGGGGCCCTGCCTGGGGTGGGGTCCTGCCTGGGTGGGGTCCTGCCTGGAGTGGGGTCCTGCTTTCATTCCTAGCTCTCTGCTAATGCCTGGGGGAGACAGCAGATGATGGCCCAAGTGCTTGGACCCTGCTACCCATGTGGGAGGTCCAGCTGGAGTTCCAAGCTGCTGACTTTGGCCTGGCCCAGCCCCAGCTGTTGCATGCATTTAGGGGGTGAAAGTCTGGGTAGAAGGTTCCTGCCACCCTCTTTCTCATCCTTTTCCCCTCTTGTCACTGTGGTTTTCAAGTAAATAAATAAAAATCAATCTTTAAAAAAATTTCCTTCATAACTGGTAGTAGGCAAAATACATTTGGGGCTTTTGTGTTTTCCATTGGCCTTTTGTTTTCATGGCTCATCCTCACTTTTATCCCAGAGGGGCCAAAGCTACAGTTATCTTGTGGTTAGTTGGAACCTTTGTGGCTCCCTGTGTTCTTAAAAACTCTTCTTTCCTTTTTTGTTCAGAGTGTTCTCAGCTGAATTATGTCAAAAATACTTAAAGGTGTTAGTAAGGTGTTAGTGATTAGAGAGATAACCCCTTCAAGAGGCCACACTGAGCTTTTTCTTTTTTTAAAATTATTTTACTTATTTGAATGAGTTACAGAGAGAGAAGTAGAGAGAGAGAGAGAGAGAGAGAGAGAGAGAGAGACTGAGATGTCTTCCATCCACTGTTTCACTGGCCAAATTGCTGCAATGGCTGGTGCTGAGCTGATCTGAAGCCAGGAGCCAGGAGCTTTTGCCGGGTCTCCCATGTGGATGCAGGAGCCCAAGGACTTGGGCTTTCCTCTGCTGCGTTCCCAGGTGCATTAGCAGGGAGCTAGATTTGAAGTGGAGCAGCTGGGACTCGAACCAGCACCTATATGGGATGCTGGCATTGCAGGCCAGGGCTTTAAACCACTGCGCCAGAGCACCAGCCCTGAGGGCACATTGAGCTTTAACAGTGCTGTTCATTTGCTGGAAATGGGGTGAGTGTGGTTACAGTCGATAAAGTCACAGACCAAGAGGCTCTGTTTATGCTCAAAAAGGTCTTTGAGTGCCTATGGAATGTCTTTGGTAATTTCTGAGTTTAGATAGGTTTCATGCATATTTTTCACCCGTGAAATCCTACTGGATTTGTTTTCTAATCCCTGAAGCCTCAATCACAAAGTGAAACTTTGGTTTCATGGGAAGTAATCTAAAAAAGTGCAAATGATGGCCCCTTGGCAGAGCTGCGTATTTTGCAACCAGCGGGTTCATGATTCGACACTGTTGATTTTAGATGCTAAGAATTCACATTTCCACTGTGAGTAGGGAGAGCATTTCTACTTCCTGTAAACAGTTCTTCCTGTTCTAGTTAGGGGCAGGGGATACTAGAAACCACTGTACATCATCTGCATTCAGCTTCTGTCCAGAAAGGAACATTGTGCAGAGATCATCTGGAACTTGTCTGACTCTGATAATGTGGTGCAGAGCAGTTCCAAAAATAAAGGCAGGATTGTTGTGTCCGTCAGGAGCAGCTTATTTCGTCATTGTTATTTTTCAGTTGTAGCCTCGTGCCTTGTATGGTGGTTTCTGTTTCTTGGAACGAGCTAAGAAGAGCCGATCTATTCTTGGGCTCTGGGAATGCTTCACTGCAGAGTCTGTGTTTTCGAGAATAATGTTTGGCTCATACAAGGAGTCTGTGTTCTGGAAGTGTAATGTTGGATGCATGTGAGGGGGATTAGCACCCATGGGAACTGCGCCTGAGAATCGGAATAGAAAACGCCAGTGTCAGATGAAGAAACGCTTCTTTATTGAGACTGTATTCAACTACAGAAAACACAATAATGCAGCATTATTAAACGGGAGGCCTTCTTTGCTCTCTTTCTGCCTGATGGGGAGGCTCGACTTGGACTTTATGGTTATCAGGAAATTTTAGTTTCATCCATACCCCAGGCAGCACTCCCTTTGCTTGTGTTTCCTTGGATCTGCTCTAATAAATAAGGATCCCACAGGACATTCTTAGAATAACCAGAGAGACAGTGTGGATGTTCCTGAGACCTGGTAGCTGTATATGTAATAGTTCATAGATTTTTCTTGCCATGTGTTGAAGAAAGGAGAGGACTTCGGGATTATTAGTTATCTTACACTTAACATGTTATAATTTAGTTGTTTAGATTGATCTTCTGTATTTTTTTCTTTTTTAGATACTGGCTCAGTCATGTACCGAAATCCTGGAATTGCGTCCCTCAAGTGTCTGTGTAGGGGGTGAGTGTTTAGAATTTAAAAATATCATGTAAGAAATTGTATTTTTCCATAGCTAAAATATATGATTTGAAACTCATGTTGGAAGAAGAGTAGCAAAATTAACTTTTTTGGCATCTTCTTTTGTGTAAGAATTTTTAAATAATTCCTTGAAATATTTCTATTTTAAATTCAAATTTTTAAGATGGGAGTGTTATTTTAAATAATTGAGCATATTGTGTGACAGGCTTTTAGAATCTTCTGTACCCATAGTTCACATGTGAGACCTTTCCTGTGACAAATACAATAAGAAATGCTTTTATCTGATTAGATAGTCAAGTATCTCTAGACTGTGAGCGCCCTGCTTTAATGCCCTGGCCGAGGCACAGCATCGCCCACGTTAGGCACTTAAGGAAGTGACTCCCGGGTGCGTGGCAGGAAGGAAGCAGGTGGCCAAACAGCTGTGCTAGAGCAGACTCAGGAGTTGGCACCTCTCAGCCATCTTTGCCCAGAGAGAGTAGACTTCTTTCTGGACCATTTATATCTTCCTCAAGTCGGACTGAGAGTTCACTGTAACATGGTTTTCTTTGTAGAAATACGGAGGGGTGAGGGTTGGGCCCAACAGTTAAGTTGCCATTTGGGATGCACGGATCCCATATCAGAGTGCCTGGGTTAGAGTCTTGGCTCTGCTCCTGATTCCAGATTCTTGCCAATGTGCACTCCTGGAGGCAGCATGTGGTGGCTCAAGGACTTGGGCCCTGCCATCCACATGGGAGATCCAGACTGAATTCCTGGCCTAACTCCAGCCATTGTAGGCGTCTGGGGAGTGAACCAAGAGATGGGAAATTTCTTTCTGTTTATCTGTGTTTCTGTCTCTACCTTCAATTAGAATGAAAGTAAGTAAATAAAAAAATTTTAGAAGGTAATTCATTGTAGTTGGGGAGGAAATGAAATATGTTGTATTGTTGACCACAGAGCTTCCTACACTCTGCTGGACCTGGACCTGGCCTTTTATTTCCTTATTTATTTATTTATCTTTTAAAAGATTTGTTTGTTTATTTGAAAGGCAGAGTTATAGAGGGAGGAGAGAGAGGGAAATCTTCCACCTGCTGGTTCATTCCTCAGATGACTGAATGGCCAGGGTTTGGCCAGGCCAAAACCAGGAGCCAAGAGCGTCTTCCAGGTCTCCCATGTGGCTGTCAGTGGCCCAAGGACTTTGACCATCTTTTACTGCTTTCCCAGGTCATTAGTAGGATCTGGATTAAAACTGGAGCAGCCCGGACATGAACCAGTACCCAAATGGGGATGCCCGCATTGCAGGCAGTGGCTTAATCAGCTATACCACGATGCTGGCCCCTGGAGCAGGTCTTTTTTTTTTTTTTTTAATGATTTATTTATTTATTTGAAAGGCAAAGTTACAGAGGGGCAGAGGGTAGAGATAGAGATAGAGATAGAGAGAGGGAGAAAGTCTTCCATCTGCTGGTTCACTCCCCAAACAACTGTAACGGCCGGAGCAAGGCCAGTCTGAAGCCCGTTGCCGAGAACTTCTTCCAGGTCTCCAGTGCTGGTGCAGGGACTCAAGGACTTGGGCTGTCATACACTGTTTTCCCAGGCCATAGCGAAGAACTGGATTGGATGTGGAGCAGCTGGGACTGAACCGGTGCCCATGTGGAATGTGGTGCCGCAGGCAGTGGTTTTACCCACTATGCTACGGTGCCGGTCCTGAAGCTGGTCTTAAACTCTGCATTTTACAGACCTCTTAGTAATTAATCATTGATCTGTTTAACAGAAACAGTGTATCCAGACATCCCAGAGCATGGATGAACACATTTCTAAAGATAGTAAGGAAAGACAAATGGGAAAATAATATGAAAATGATAGTATTTATTGTTCCTATTATGTTCTGGCTTCATATTGGGCCCTTTGCATTTGTCATTTGTTTTAAATTAAAAAATTATTTTGGGGGCCAGGATTGTGGTGTAGTGGGTATAACTGCTGCTTGCAATGCCGATATACCATGTGGGTGCTGGTTCATGTCCAGGGTGTTCTATTTCCAATCCAGCTCCCTGCCAATGGCCTGGGAAAAAAATACTTGGCCTCTGCTACCCCTGTGGGAGACCTGGCAGAGCCTAAGGCCCTAGCTTCAGCCTGGCCCAACACTGGCTGTTGTGGCCATCTGGGGAGTGACCCAGCGGATGAAGATCTGTCTGCCTCTGTCTTTCCTTCTCTCTCTTTGAAGCTTTGTCTTTCAAATAAAATGAGTAATCCAAAAAAGATAAAAGAGAGAGAAAGAAAAAGAGAAAAAAAACCCTTCCATTTGCTGGTTCACTGTCCAGATGCCCACAATAGCTGGATATGTGGAACTAGTGCAAAGCTTGGAGTTCATTCTGGGTCTGCCTCATGGATGTCAGGGACATGTGTGCTTGAAGCCATCATCTGCTGCCTCCTGGGATGCACATTAACAAGAGGGTAGAGATGGGAGTGGACCGGACTCCAGCCAGGCACTGCAGCTGCAATATCTGAGAGTGGAAAACAACAACGTGGTTTCTTTCCTGTTGATATTTTTCTAAGGAGAGAATTTGGGGACGTTTGATGGGACTCTCTGGAAATTACTGTGAGCCTTCAGTTCTAATACCCTGAGTCCTGTTGGAAAACGCTTGGTCTAGAAAATAAAATAATGCATCTCTATGTGACAGTGGGGAGTCCCTTCACTGCATTTACGTAGATGTCTAAGAAAGGAAGCACAGTTGGAAATACAGAACTAGATCCTCCTGTTGTTAATGGATTGAACAGGATGAAGGAATTCATTTTGTGTACTGTGATTTATTCCTTTCAAGTTGTCTTTTTTCTATAAAGCAGTGACTAAAATGTCTCTTTTTCTCTTTACTTCTAGAGGAATTTCAGATTGTTTTGAATGGGAGAGGATTCTCGTTGGGCAGTCGGAATGGCAGTGTGCTCTGTACCTACGCTGTGAATGAGACATATACAAAGAGTGAGTCCCAGTGATCTCAGTGTTTGCTTCAGTGTCTGCACAGTGTTTGGCACCAACTGCTTTTTTCTCCAGCTAAAACCAGCTGTGTTGTATTTTTTATTCAAAGAAGAAAGAAATGAAGTCTCAATAACATAACTATTTGTGGTTATTTTATAATTATTAAAATGGCAACATTTATTCATAAATATTGTTTTAAGTACGCCTCATTATTCAGATAATATTTTGAGACTGAAAGGATAAAATGACTTGCTGTGGTGCCACCATTAACAGTAATACTAGGCAGAGCTCATATTGAAACTCAATTTTCCTGACTGTTTTTTATATATGGTACCATTGACTGATTTAGCTACCTCTTTCTCCAGACTTTTTTCTTCCCACTCTTGCCTTGAAATCTAATTATCTTGAGTAGTTCCTACTGCTTGATCTCTTTCATTGTTGCTTTTAAAAAACTCAATTTCCCAGTAATTTGTGAGTCAGTTTCTTGAAGGACAGGGTTTTTTTGCCTTACAGATTTTTTTTTTTGTATCACCAATGACCACCCAGTACATTGTCTGTTGAAAATAATCGTATTTGGGCGGGCGCCGCGGCTCACTAGGCTAATCCTCTGCCTGCGGCGCCGGTACCCTGGGTTCTAGCCCTGGTTGGGGTACCGGATTCTGTCTTGGTTGCTCCTCTTCCAGTCCAGCTCTCTGCTGTGGCCCGGGAAGGCAGTGGAGGATGGCCCAAGTGCTTGGGCCCTGCACCCACGTGGGAGACCAGGAGGAAGCACCTGGCTCCTGGTTTCAGATCGGCAGCGTGCTGGCCATGGTGGTCATTTGAGGGGTGAACCAATGGAAAAGGAAGACCTTTCTCTCTGTCTCTCTCTATCTCACTGTCCACTCTGTCTGTCAAAAAAAAAAAGAAAAAAAGAAAATAATTATATTTATAGAATTGGAGTTTATTTTCCCTGGTCTCAACTTTCAGAAAAGCTTAAATGAATCTTAAGTTTTCCGAGTATTTTGGGTCTCTATAAAGTTCCTCATTAATGATTGTGTTGGTTTATAATTCTATAAATGCTAGTAGAGTTCTTTTATTGAAAAATTCAACTATGATTTTACTGATTATCTAATGGTGTGAAACAGTCTAATTAGCACAGCTCTGGCCACACAGAAACTGTTCAATATGTGTTTGTTCAATTAAAGTGATGAAGATCTCAGTATGGTCAGTGTCACAATTAGTTACTGTCTTTCCTATTAAGATCACCATTTCAATAAGGCAAAACAGTAATATTTGTAACAAATGCTCTTCATAGTAGGTTTTACTGTTATGTAGGACAAAATAAATTTATTTTTATTTAGTATTTGTATTCTAAATGTTGATTTTTCAGAACTCTTTCTGGTTACATATTTGAGTTAAATATATGAATATTTTATGCTTAGCTACATAAGATTAAGCTTATTAAATCCTCAAATAGAGTCAGAGTTGTATTTTCATTTCTTACATTCTGGGATGATACATTTTATGATAGTACTTTTTTGAATATTTCTAGTCTTGTTCACTTTTCTCATAGGCTATTAAAATTCCAAGGACAATTTTAGTACCTTGCTGTATGAAATATACTTATTTATTGTAGACACAACTGTTTTATAAATTCATGAGCTAAGTTTGTTTTCCTTTAGAAATTCATCTTCCTTTCTCCATCTTTTCTAAATTCTACCTACAAAATAAACATATATGCAAATATATATATCCCATCACTTTTCTTCTCCTCCTTCTTCAGATTTTTTTGTGCTAAGATACCCAGCATTCAACCCTTGAAATCTGACTGAGGGATGCTCTTCATAGTGCCAGTGCAACTGTGTGAGTTACCTAAAACTCTTTATTAACCCAGTGGCATTTTATCTTGCAGGTGTAAAGCCAGTAAGTGTGCAGCTCAATTCTATGCTTTGTCCTGCACCCGTCCTGACTAAAGCTGGAGAGTAAGTACCTCCCTGCTGTTCAGGTCAGCAGCCTTGAATCACCGATTGTCTCCCTTGCCCCCCCCCCCCCCCCATTTTCTCGGCTGCAGATCTCCTCGGCTGTCCTTTCCAAGTATGTCCAGAGTTCACTCTCAGCTCACTGCTCGCGCTGCTGCCATCCTGAGCCCCGCTGCTGTCACTGCTCGCTGGGCCTGTCTGTCTTGCCCTTGGCAAGAGTCATTTTGGGAAAGCAGAGCAGCCCCTTTGCTCGACTTCTCCGTTCAGAGTCCAAGTGCAGCCTCTGCGAGGGTCTGCAGGACGTGGCCCCGCCCTGCCTCCCAGACCTCCTCTGCTGTTTGTTCTCCGCTGACTCAGTCACTCTGGCCTCCTTGCATTCCTTTCCCTGGTCAGCAGCTCACTCTTACTTCAGCTCTTCTATCTCTGCTCTCTCCGCTTTGAATCCTCTTTCCTTCTTGGCTTGCTCCCTTGCCTTCTCTGTAAGCCCTTTTGTAGGTACTCTGTTTTTTTATTTACTTGAAAAGCAGAGTTATAGAAAGAGAGAGAGCGAGTGAGCCTGGAGTTTCTTCATGGTCTCCTACATAAATGCAGGGTTCCAAACACTTGGACCATCTTCTGCTACTTTCCCAGGTGCGTTAGCAGGGAGCTAGATTGGAAGCAGAGCAGCTGGGACTAGAACTGGCACCCATATAGGATGCCGACACCATAGGCAGAGGCCTAGCCTGCTGTGTCACAATGCTGGCCTCATGTTATTCTATCTAATCAAACAGTCTTCTCTCCATTTTGGGTCTGTAACTCCTGTTCCCTTTGCAGGTTTTAATTTTTCTCATCAGCACTTCCTTCTTTATTATTGTTTATCTCCTTTCTGCCAGGATGCATTTTGTCTATCTTATTTCTTGTGTCTCTAACACCTAACAATGCCTCAAGCTTAGTAGATTCAATGAATATTTTAGATGAAAGCAAGTTAATTTTTCTCAAATATTTTGGCTTATCAATTATTATAAAGAGATAATAGGGCCATTTAATTGCTGGAGGTGGGAGTCTATGTTGGGTAGGGGAAAATAGGTCAGAATTCTGTTTTGGGGGTAGGCATGCCATTTAAAAGAGCAGAATACATCATTGGATTTTAAATAATGGTGACTGGCTAAGGAAGGCAGCTTGCTTCTTTCCCAAGGTAGTTACAAAACTCGGTGTGCCTGTTCTGTTCCAGGCATTGAATTTGTTGCCTCTAGAATTTGCCTTTGGGCATAGTCTCCTTTTGCGTAGAACACCATAGAGATTGCTATAGTGTTTAAAATCTCAATAACAGAATAAATATTGGACATGAGAAGTAACCATTTGTTTGGCTTTTGACATTCATATTTTGCCTATGAGCAAACAGAGTGTTTCCGGATTGATATCTGCCAAACAGGGTTACTCTTTTGCGTTCTCTCCCCGACTTTGTCTTTTGGATCAAGCACATGCAGCCACCGACTGAAATCGGTTGAAGGTTTCCTTTGTGAATGGATTGGGTATTTGGGGACATCATTATTTGTTCTGCCTAGCTTGTTGCAGGCAGTTTGGGCCTTTCCTTTGCCTTGGATTTTCTTCAGATACTTTTGTAGGTAACAAGCTCTCTTATGAGATTGAATTAAAATCAATATAAGTGGAACAGTGTAGCCTCCTAAGGTGACTGATGCTTAATATGTTTGCCTAATTAGCTTTTGGCTAAGGATTCAAGCCCGTTAAGTAGCTAGTTAGTCTATGTTTCAAATAAACACATCTGGCCCAACAATGAAGGAAGGCTTTTCCTGTGTGAGGGTGACAGATGTGGTGATGGTTCCCCCTATTCTCTCACTTAAATAATTAACAAGGCGCTGGTGAAGTAACCCTACACAGACAGCCTCAAAGCCAGATGCATGGTCTCAGAGCTGACTCCATGGGCATGTGCCTCATCTCATTAGCCTGCTCTGCCGTTCCGTTTCCATCATTACGTATATTCTGAATTCATTTTGCTTGAGGATTATTCTTTCAAACACTTAAGGCTTTTGGATTTTGGTTTAAAAGAGGGTTCACATGAAGATATTTACTTACTGGTGAGGACTAAGAAGGTAGGGAAGTAGCTAACACATGGGCGTGCATTTAGAAATTGATGTTATGAAGTAAACAGATATATGTGGGCAAATCCCATCCAGGGATGGCATTGTTGAGGATGGTAGGAAGTCTTTCAAGGAATTTCTTTGAGAAAATTCTGTTTAGGTAAATTCTTTATTTGAAGTTTAAGGCTTTCAGGCTCTGAGGAACAAATTCTTAGTATTTACACAGAAACAAATGAGTGGTAGTAGTGAGGTTGTTCTTTTCTACTTTCATTGGACACAATTTACTGTTAAAATGCCATATGACTAAACACATTGTGCTACCAAGAAAAATCTGTAGATTACTTAGGAGTTTATTTCTGCCAGTGGTTCGTTTGTACCAAAATGCCTCACTTACTCATGGGATGATCTCTTTAAAGTTCTGTGGGTGCTACCTCACGGTTTAATGTGCAGGTGTCACAAATCCTTACAATATAGGCTGATTCTCTGACTCCTGTTTTGTGAGACAGCAACAATAGCACAGCTGCTCTGTAATAGTTGAGATCTCAAACCTGTAATTTGGCAAGAAGAACGGAACGAATTGGGTAAATATACATAAACACATTGTGAAGAAAGAAAAACAGAACAGAATGAACCAGAGCCTTATCCTACAGCTTGTTTGATAGCGATGATTTAAGGAGGCATATGGTATAGCTAAATGTGCTTTCAAAAACATTGGCCACAGTCTTCTGGCAAATATGAAATAAATATCTAAATCAGATGAAAGTGATAGTATTAGTTCTCCTAGAAGGCAGTGTGGGAAGACACTGACAGAGTGTTTTGAGTCAGAACTCTGGGACATTCAGTGCACGTGGAGGATTTCAGACATCAGATGCAGAAGGATCATGGAGCTAAACAACACGGGCAGCGGTGGGGTTAGGGGCTGGCCTGCTGATGGAATCTCTTTATTTTCCTCAACACTGTGGCTTTTTCAGTGTGAAGCCTAATCTATTTTGGCTGGAATAGAATCAATTAATTCCATTTCTCTTTCTTGGTTGAGTAATTTCTGCCTTGATGACAGCCTGTCTTTCCCAAAGGACACCTACGGGTGTGCACGGATGTACGTCTATGCAGTCTGTAATTGGCATTTTGTTAGTTCCTTACTTATTGATTCTTCTGACTCGTGTCTTCTGCAGATGACATAACCACAGCTATATTATTTCTTTCGTTTCTTGTGAAAAATGAGAATTTTTAAAAATATAATGGCTATGAAGATGTTAGTTATGCTTTTATTTTGAATATGAATATAGGAATTTTGGTGAGTTGGGGAAAGGCTGAGAATCCTCTATGTTCTTCTACGTTTGTTTCAGTTAGATGCATATATTGAGTTGTCCTATAAAGAAATTATTTAATTCATGAATCTTTTAACCACTTTAAAGAAAGTATCCTTGACGAAACAGTAATTTATATATATACCATAACCAGAAATAGAATCTTTACAAAACTGTTCACTAATGTGAAATGCTATTTTTAACTTAACATCTTTATTGCGAGTAAAGTTTTAACAAATTCTGCAGAATATTTAATAGTAGCGCTTGATTTCAAAATATCTTAAGTCACCATGATTTTAATAACTTCTTGAGTAGTTGCCAATTTAATTTTCAGTATGTGCAAATTGGAGGTAAATTATTTATCCCTTTCAGCAAATGTCTTTTACAATTTTATTTAACTTCTTCATTCTTTTTAATGGATCATAAAATGGCAGCCTTTTATTGGATATACATAAAGTCTGAAGTAAATGAATACTTAGCAAATAGGTTACTGTGGATCGAAAAGTCAACCATGTTTCAAGGAGTTTGAAATTTCTCAGATCAGAGTAACTCTGACATATGGCTGCTCTCCTGTTTTGGAACAGTCATGCATCTTCAAACATTAAATTAAAGTATTGTGACTGTTAGTACTGATTGAATTTTACTACTCAATTATACATCACAATATAATTTAATACTTTCTCTTGTGGAATCAATTTAGTACACTTGTACTTAGCTCTATCACTACTAATTGAGTACCAGTGGATGTAAAAATGCACTTCAAAGAGCTTTTCTATATTTAAAGATTTCTTTTATTCATCTACTTTGAAAAAACATTCTAAAGTTGGAATAAAGAGTGGATTAAGAAATTTTCAGGAAATATTGAACAGTGAAGAACTAACTTATAGAGTGGGAGATTAAAAGCATTGTCAGTTCTCAGCTCTGTCTTTTTGACCTCCCTACACCATCAGCGCTGGGGCCTTACTTTCTGTCTCAGAAAAAGGCCTTCCCTTGTATCCTGTGATTTTGTATTTTCACCTTGGCTGTTGTTTTTCCCGCAGGTATCACTTAAAGCTCTTCATCTTCTTGCAGTTCCTTAGTTATGAATTTTCACTGAGGTTGGATTCCTGATCCATAAACTCATCTTCTACAAAGGTTTCCTTTTCTAGTTGATGAGCTTCACATTTTTCCTTAGCTTAATCCTCTGTCCAAATGTCTTCTATACTAATGTCTGCTGAGTCACTAGGCTTTCCCACAGGCACCTTAAACTTGGAGGTCACAAATTAAATTGATGTTCTTCTGTTCAGGCTTGCTTCTTCTGCATTTCCTGGGAACTGGGTGATATGTGAATGTAGTGAAAAAACAGGAGGAATGATACCAAGCTCATATCAATAAAAAGAAATTTAAATATGAGGCCATAAAATAAGTGTAAAAGAGTAAAGTAGAGAAAGTGTTTTTGCTTGCAGAGGGGTTCAATAATTGGACAAGCTGCATTTTTTTTTAAAGATTGATTTATTTACATGAAAGAATTACAGAGAAAGAAGGAGAGACAGAGAGAGCCAGTCTGTCTGCTGATTCACTTTCCAAGTGGCCAAAATGGCTAGGGCTGAGCCAGGCTGAAGTCAGGAGCCAGGAGCTTGGAGCTTCACGGGGTCTCCCATGTGGGTAGTAGGGGCCCAAGCACTTGAACCAGCTTCCACTAGTTTCCCAGATGTGTTAGGGACTGGATTGGAAGTGGAGCAGCCAGGACTTGAACCAACACCCATATGAGATGCTGGTGTTGCAGGTGGCTGCTTTACCTGCTACAGCAGAATGCTGGCCCCAACAAGTTACCTTTTTTAAGATGAAGGTTTTTTTTGTTTTTGTTTTTTTTTTTTTTTGAAAATGGAGATAATACTAGTGCCTACCTCCATGGGCTGTTGTGAGAATTAAATGAGAATATGAGATAATTTGTCTCCTAGTAAGAAATCAGTAAGTGCCTGTAATTATTAGTGTCATGGATAGTAATGTTTTGATTTTGCTGCTATCACTTTCAGGGAGGGTGAGTTTTGTTTAATTGAGTCCATATGTCAAAAGAACCATCCAGTGGCTTTCCATATCTGTGGAGACTTAGGTATATTTGACAGTAGCCACATTATATTAGACTGAAATCTGAGGATAACAGTTATTTTGGTTGGCTATAAGATCTTGTTAGCATGCATTTTTATTTCAGGAAGGAGTGAACTTTGTTTTAAAATTGTATCTTGTGTTTTTATTCCATTTTAGTAAGCGCTAGAAATTGTCAGTATTTCCTGCATTATAGAACTGTTTGTTTCGAGTAAATTCAAAATACCAGATTATGAATGTCGGTCAGTATCTACTGATCTCTTAAAGTTGCATGTGATTACCTGTGACAATCATATGTCTTCATGAATCAAAATAATATTATCCCCAAATGAAAATAGTCTGTGTCATATGATTCCTGGAACATCATAAAGTAGGGAAATTAGGAACTAGGGAAGATTATTTTTGGATTCAGTTATGCTTAGTCATTAAAACAAAACAAAACAAGTCCTGCAGAGTTAGCAATTATGTTTAAATTTCTTTCTTAAGTAGGCCACTTGACATTCTGTGTTGGGATAGTGGCAGAATTTCAGTTAATTTCATGTAAACACCCCAAATTCTTGTTGTTTACTGAACCCAGCTAAACTTTTGTTAAACAACATGCCTTGAAGTGAATATTTTTCATGAAATATTTGTAATAGGAGTATTTCTGGGTTTTGAAAAGGAGGTAGACTTGAACTTCCCCAGTATTATCTTTTCCTGGTCCCTATATTAATCCACAATAAAAGCCACATTGAAAAAAGAAGCACATTATGGCCTTTCACCATTTCATCACATGGTCTGATGGAAAGAGTTCAAAATTAGAATCATAGCTTTACTACTTTGGGCAAGGCAGTTAACATTTGTGGGCCTCCGCATCTGTAAGGTTGAAGAACCACTATTTCAAGGGCTGATGTGAAGATTAAATGACAAAATGATGATAAATTGCCTAGGACTGCATCTAGTACATCACAAGGGCTAAATACTACTTCTCATCTCCCCTCTGTGGCCTCATTATTGAAAATTCATTGACTTGCGATTGCTTCTGTCTTATCTTGTTCATAACTAATAGCATTTAGCATTGAAAGGCATTGAGAAGAAATCTTCTAAATATAATAAAATTCTACTAATTTAGCATGAAGTTTCTGGCTTGGAGTTTAAAATATTTTATGATAATTGGAGCTTGATGCTTTAAGAGGCATACTATTGAATATAAACCATATTAACAAAATGATGTCTACTACTCTCTGTTTTTATTGAATGGACAGCTTTGGTTTGTTGGCAAGCTGATAATTGTATGCACTAAACTTGGTGAACTATTTTAGAAAAGAGCTGTTTCCTTATATACTTTAAAACTCACTTATCATTTTTCCCTTTGATATCATGTTATAGCTTTTATTTTATTTTTCATTTTTTAAAAGACTTATTTTATTTATTGGAAAGAAAGAGTTACAGAGAAGATAGGGAAAGAGTGAGTGAGTGAGTGAGAGTGAGAGAGAGATCTTTCATCTGCTGGTTCACTCCCCCGATGGATGCAAAGGCCAGTGCTGGGCCAGACTAGAGCCAGAAGCCAGGATCTACTTTTTTTTTTTTTTTTTTTTTTTTTTGGACAGGCAGAGTGGAAAGTGAGAGAGAGAGAGAGACAGAGAGAAAGGTCTTCCTTTTGCCGCTGGTTCACCCTCCAGTGGCTACCACGGCCAGCGCGCTGCGCGGATCCGAAGCCAGGAGCCAGGATGTTCTTCTGGGTCTCCCACGTGGGTTCAGGGGCCCAAGAACTTGGGCCATCTTCTGCTGCTTTCCCGGGCCATAGCAGAGAGCTAGACAGGAAGTAGAGCAGCCAGGTCTCAAACCGGCGATTGGACCATCTTCTACTGCTTTCCCAGGCCATAGCAGAGAGCTGGATCTGAAGAGTAACAGCCGGGACTATAACTGGCGCCATTGGGGATGCTGGCATTTCAGGCCAGGGCTTTAACCTGCTGTGCCACAGCACCAGCCCCATGTTAGAGCTTTTAAAAACAGAAGACTTACCAATTCTGTTTTGATTCCAAATAATTAATTGCTCGAATCTGAATTAATGAAATTTTAATTATTGTAACTTGTTTACAGTATGTTTTAAAAATGATAGCTGTATTTTAACCATGATATTTCTTACCTAGGGACAAAAATGATCCTCTCTTTTTTTCTATTGTTTATCAGGATATTTTATTATCTTGGGACTGTCGGCAACAATGCTTGTGCACACATCTCTTTTTCTTTCATTCATTTTCTCTTTCATTTGCAGTTTCCATATGTTTCATTCATCCTTGAATGATTCATTACTTCCAATTTATTTTGTTCTTAAACAATAATCTTGTGATAATAATATCTATAAACAGGGAAAAATAAGGTAAACAGGTCCAAGGATTTCCCCCCTTAACACTTTTTATGGAACCTGAAACAATCTCACCATTTCTGTGAATTAAGGAATTTCTTAATATTCCTATTAATGTAATGATTGTAAAGGGAACAGTTAGGTCACTTAGGGAGTTACCTTTAGCTAATGAGCAGGGAAAAGAAGTGAGGAACCCAAGAGCTGGGGTAGCTGATCAAAAGCTGTGACCTTTATGCAATATGTTTTCTGGCTGGTTTTGAATTATACAAGGAAATAAAAATCACCCACAGTCCTTTAGTTTGTTAATTATTGTTTCTTCATTTTCTTTCAGAACTCTTGATGTGTCAGTGAGCTTTAATGGAGGAAAATCTGTCATCTCAAGCTCATTAGTAATCACAGCCACAGAATGTGTAAGTAAAAAATTTGTGTAAAGTTAATTTTTGAAAATAATCCTATCCAGAAATCATCTATGGAGTCTTTGTATTGTTCCATATCACAATAAAGAAGCTATAATCAATAACTTTTGAGACCATTACAAGGGAAAATTTATATGGAGTTTATTTAAAGTTGTATTTTGAATATGTGTTTCCTCTGTAATGTGTGTTGCAATTTTTTGGCTTTGTGGGTGTTGCAATTTTTGTAGGTTTTCTGGTCCCTGAGGATGTGGTTGGTTGAGGTTGCAACTTTCTGGTATGTTGTTTGTCAGTGGTTAGCTCACTGAAATTGCTTTCTTTCTTGTTCCTTAATCTTATTTTGCACCTCCGGCTATCTTTATCACTTCTTTCCTGCAGGCAAGGAGCAGACGTTTGCTCCTGTTCTACAGCCATGCACTGCCTCCTTGCATACAGCTGCTGGGTTAAAAGGCACAGCTGTAAATTAGAAGCTGGATGCTTTAAGGAAGTCCTCCTAGGTCTCACTAGTTGTCTGGAGAGCTCTTTCTGTGACTCCAGGTAGTTTAACAATAAGGTGATTTTTGGAAACAGTAACATTGGTTGTAGGAGATAAGGTAGAATGATGGGGCAAGTTATAATAGGAAATCAGGGACTTGAGAAGCCTGACGGAGTGAGCCCTGAACTACCCCCTCGCAGAGAGGGCAGATGGAGGAAAGCCTGCAGAGGGAGGCAGCCAGTGTGCTAGAAAGGTGGTAGTCAGGAGAGAATGAGAGAGAGCTGTGTAAGCTCTGATGAGAGCTTGATGTTTTCCTCTGAATGAAACTGGGACGCCCCAGGGGGTGACATTATTTGACTTAACCTTTTAAACGATGAGTCTAGCTGCCTTGTGACAATTGGTCTTACATATGGGGATGACAGTGGGAAGTTTGAGAAAAATTCTTGCTTTTCACTGGTCCAGGAGAAGGTGAGGGTAGTCCTGTCACTAGAGAAAAGAGCTGTGGAAACTGTGGGGTTCTTGTCGTCAAGCAAGAAAGAATGTAGGCAGGAGACAGAGAGTGAAGTAATAAGGTTTTACTGGGGATAGGGTATCCGTTAGAACAGAAGGGATAGATAGAAGGTGTCCAGTCACTTGGACTGGGTGAGAGCAAGGTTACATGGTTGTTTGGAGAGAATATACCTGGGCAGGCCAGGTGGGCTGCTCAGCAGAGAGCAGAGGGCTGAGTGCACAGTCTTTGGACTCCTAATTTTTTTCTAGAAAACTTTTATTTAATAAATATAAATTTCCAAAGTACAACTTTTGGATTATAGGTTTCTTCCCCCCATAACCACCCTCCCACCTGCATACCATCCCATTTCCTATTCCCTCTCCCATCCCATTCTTCATTAAGATTCATTTTTAATTATGTTTATATACAGAAGATCAACTCTATACTAAGTAAAGATTTCAACAGTTTGCACCCACACAGACACACAAGTATAAAGTACTGTTTGAAGACTAGTTTTACTGTTAATTCTAATAGTACAACACATTAAGGACAGAGGTCCTACATGAGGAGCAAGTGGACAGTGACTCCTGTTGTTGATTTAACAATTAACACTCTTATTTATGACGTCAGTAATCACCTGAGGCTCTTGTCATGAGCTGCCAAGGCTATGGAAGCCTCCAGAGTTCGCCAACTCCGATCTTATTTAGACAAGGCCATAGTCAAAGTGGAAGTTCTCTCCTCCCTTCAGAGCAAGGTACCTCCTTTGGTGGCCCGTTCTTTCCACTGGGATCTCACTCACAGAGATCTTTCATTTAGGTTTTTTTTTTTTTTTTTTCCACAATGTCTTGGCTTTCCATGCCTGCGAAACTCTCATGGGCTTTTTTAGCCAGATCCAAATGCCTTAAGGGCTGATTCCAAGGCCAGAGTGCTGTTTAGGGCATTTGTCATTCTCTGTGGACTACTGATTTTTAAGGGAGTCTCTTTACCCTCCACCTCCTTCTCCTCCAGGACAAAGGATGGGGAGCCCTGGCAGAAGGGTTTGTTAGGTGAAAATATGAAAAATTCCTTTCCAGGTTTACCGCTGAGGTTGTCAGACAGGGGAAGCCTTGCTGGCATCAGCCAAGGCACTTCTCTCTAGGGTGCCCACCTTAGAGGAAAGATGTTTATCAGGCCAGGCAAAAGGGGCGGGGCTTCCTGGAAGGTTATCAGGGTCTGGGCAGGACTTTGAAATGCAGATGCTGGAGTGCCGTAGATGTCATTCTCCTTAGGCCCTTCTTACACACATAGGCTGATTTCTAACTTCCTGAGTAACAGTCCCCTTGGGATGAGAGCAGTGGAGATGTGGAGAAATGATTGAATACATATGTATTTTAAATCAGAACCCAAAGGATGCCTAGACAGATTAGGTGTGGCATGTGAGGGAGAGAAAGAAACAGTAGCTTCAAGCTTTTTCACCTGAGCAACCTCCCTCCCTCCCTCCCTCCTCCCCTTCCTTCCTTCCTTCCTTCCTTCCTTCCTTCCTTCCTTCCTTCCTTCCTTCCTTCCTTCCTTCCTTCCTTCCTTCCTTCTTTGTTTCTCTTCCACTTTTCCTTTCTCACTTCTCTTCCTTTATACATTTCTGTCTTCTTTTTATCCTCTTCCTCATCTTCCTCCCATTTCTCTTCCTCCTTTTTCTCCTGCTTCTTATTTATTGTTAACTTGGAGAAATGATTAGCTAGTAAACATATATGAAAAGCTCCACTGTTTTGTTTCATTGGCTTGAGAAAATGTTTGAGTCTGACTGCATACATAATAGTGGGTTTCCAAAGGGCTTTGGGCCTGACTGTGATGGTACAACCTGCTGTTTTGGGAAGATTAGGTTATGGGTGCCATGTAAGAGAATTAGGACAGAGAAAGAAAAACAAGACACAGAAGAAAGCTTTTTGGTGGCAAATACTAGGATTTAGGCATAAAACTTTAGGTTCTGAATTGACTGAAGGTGTTAGAACCATTACTAGAATTTGTAGTAGAGACTGTGTTAATGAAGAAACATATGCCCCAATTCCCCCAATTTTAGAGGGAATGATTAATTCCAAAGTATGAATATTATGTTTTGGAAGCTGATGGGACCTTTGGAAATATCTATAGACAGAGTGAAATCTGGAGATGAAGAGAATTTTCACTGGAAAAGTACTGAGATAGAAGATAGAAGTTGGCAATACCAGATGAACAGTTGTAGGCACAGCCTCAAATCTCAGGGATCAGGACTAGAGATACAGATCTGTTTCACTTGTGCTGAGTTTGTAGCAGAGAGAAGGAAAATTTGGAGTTAATGGCATTTTTTTTTAAAAGATTTCTTTACATTGAAGTCAAAGTTACAGAAAGAGGGTGACACACACACACACACACAGAGACAGAGAGAGGGAGAGAGAGATTCCATCCATTGGTTTACTCCCCAGATGGCCAGAATGGCCAGGAATGGGCCAGGAGTCAGGCGCTTCATCTGAGTTTCTCACGTGGGTGGCAGGGCTGAAACACTTGGGCCATCTTCTGCCACGTTTTCCAGGCTGTTAGCAGGGAGCCGGATCAGAAGTGGAGCAGCCAGGATGTGAACCAGTGCCCGTATGAAATGCCGGGATTGTAGGTGGTAGTGTTTGCTGCTGAGCCACAACACCGGCTCCAGTTAATGGCATTTTTGACATAGAAGAAATATATAGAGTCAAAAAAAATTGTTCTGGCCAAAATTACACAGATGAGGAAGACCTCATTCAATTCATTTAATTCAAAACACCAGGAAAGCAAGAGTGAACGCTGCTGCAAAAGCGACTGAGGATGTTTTCTTCAAAGCTTTACTTATTTCTACGAAAGGTAGAGTGACAGAGTGGGAGAGAGGACTTCTGTGTGCTGGCACAGCCTCCAAGTATTGGCATTAGCCAGGGTTAGGCTAGGTCAAAACCAGGAGCTGGGCATGCCACTTGCATCCCCCACCTGGATGGCAAGAAACCAAGTAATTGGGCCATTATTTCTTGCCTCCCATGTGCCTTAGCAGGAAGCAGGATCACAAGTGTGAAGTAGGTAGGATGTGCATCACACCCTATTATAGGAAATGGGTGTCCTACTCCTCTGTGTCACATCACCTGCCTCAGCGGTGGTGATGGGAATTGGAGATCACTTGTATATGCTGATTTGTCTTACCTAAAGGAAAAGCAGACTTTTCTCTCACCTTCCTGACAGGAGGTTGTGCTAAATAAAGCTTGGAGCAAGGGACCCAGTGAGGCTGGGCACCTCCCCAGCTGAGAGAGGGGTGCTGTCTTCTTTGATCCTATTTCAAAGGGTTTGTCCTCAGGCTCTTAATAACAACCTTTTCTAAGTAAAACTGACTTCAGAAATGCTTTTAAGGAAATTTAAATAAATTGCAAAAGATAGAAAGATTTTGCAATTACAAGTTTTCTAATATAGCCTCTTTAGGACAGTGGAGATTAGAGACCCACAGTCCAGAATAAATCTTATTGGAATAAAGTTTAAAATTCAGTCAAACTGAAGGAAAAGGTCATCAGGTTATCTTGATCAATAGAATAGGAAAAGAAGTGAGAGAAGGAACAGCCCAAGATATGGTAAAACCAGGACGCTTACCAAAGACAAAGGAAGATGGAATTCCCACATGCCTCAGCCCAGGCTGGTGACTTGAAGACTTCTTTTCATGTGACTTTTCTTTTTTTTTTTAAATTATTTGTTGATGATTGATTTATTTGAAATGCATAGTTAGAGAGCGAGATAGGTAAAGAAAGGTCTCCCATCCACTAGTTCACTCCCCAGATGGGTACAATGGATGGGGCTGGGCCAGGCTGAAGCCAGGAGCCTGGAACTCCATCTGGGTCTCATGATGGGGAAGGGGCCCAAGTACCTGAGCCAACTTCCCCTGTTTGCTCAGGCGCATTAGTAGGCAGCTGCATTGGAAGTGGAGCAGCCAGCACTGCAGGGTGCGGATTAACCTGCTGGGCCACGGCGTTGCTCTCCTCCCCATAACTTTTATTATTGCACTAATTATTCTGG